CCACAATAACTGGATAAAGACCGCCAGCGGCATCAGTCCAAGGTATCTGCTGCCCACCTTGTCAACCAATTGCACTGAAGTATTTTGTGGTAATACCAGTTTTACATTAATGTCCATTTCTTTTCATGGTGCCATTTACACTTGTAGAACAAAAAACAGTGACCAGAAGGTAGCCTTTAGCTGTCTGAAGTAGCATTACTTCTCAATAAAACTACCCTTTTCATCAAAAACAGGACTTTCTTTTCAATCAGGGATATATCAATCAACATGTACACAGGATCAGGGATTTAAACTGATGGAATGCCATTTCTGCCTCCACTATGGGCCCTCTGACATGCTCAGCCACAGGGTAGATCCATTATGATGGCAGACCTGGGCATTCACCCATATTTAAAGTGTTTTTACAGGATGTATTTGCTACAGACAAACACATGCCTGGAAACATGAAATGTGTGTTACAATGTTAGCTATAATTTCTGTCCATGCAGGGCTGTGTGCTGTATTCTGCAAAGTTTCCTGTCAGTACCATTTTGTTTCTGAGTCAAAGACCTTCAGAGAAGCACAGAGACACTACAGAGAGAAACACACAGATCTGGCCACTATAGACAACATGGAGGATGTGAACACCTTGAATCACATGGAGGACTTTAACGACTACAAACCTGTGATTTCTCAACTTTTCTTGACTGCTCTGTCTGTTTCATATTATAAAAAGTATGAATCAACAACCATCTAAAAATAAATCTGAATCTAAAAACCAGAGATTCGATATGAAAAAACATACACAATTACATTACTCATAAAGACTATTGCCATCAGCAGCTTAAAGTTTAACATGGTAATTTGAGTCAAACATCCTTTTTAGAGATTATACTATTGTTATTGTAATGTTTTCTGGTAGTCTGGATAGGTCTATATAACACAAAAGGCTGGAGATAGTCCCTGGCAGAGACAAGGTTCTAAAAGGACAAGGAGGATAATTTCAGGGGCTGGGGTTTGGTGAACCGGAGAGCTACAAAAACGTTGTGCTCCCACGAATGATATTGGAATATGGAAAGATTACAGTTGTAAACAACTCTTTCCAGCAGTCTGCTTTGATGTCACAGGTGAGACTTGAGTCTATATCATAACAACGTAATCCTCTTTTCCCCATTATGTTATTCACACCAACACATATTCACATTAAATTCAGACCTGCTAACTGCATGATAAATATAGTGTTAACAACAATTCCATTGCATAATTGATTATTAATCTGAACTGTTATTTGTTTGTTTGTTTTGTTTTTTTCTCCATTGCTGTGTTACTTTAGTGGACAGCATAATATAATTTATGTAGGATTTTTTTAATCATGAAGTTTGCGTTTATTTTTGAGTTTATGTGATCCATGATGATTATAACAGTTTTAAGTAGCTGGTTAAAAAAATATTATTTAAATCTGAGCTGTGCGTTGAACCCAGATCAGGAGCATGGACACTTAGCTCAGAGTGCACATGGAGAGCCATTCAGCTTGACAAAAGATTGTAGCGTACATACCTGGCCTGGCATCAGTCACAAGCCATTAAAGAAGTTCATTGTAAGGACATGCAGAGTTACGGACCTACAACTGATACTTTGGTACTCTTCCCACCATCAAACTATCAAATTGATAGGAAACAGAGACAAAGGACCCTTCTCTCACACAGTCCATGGTTTTAGCATGCCAGAGAGACACAGAACCAGACCAAAGGTCAAAGGGTCAGCTCCAGAGGATCAATGAAGGGACACCAGGCAACTGGAGAACATAGGCAAAATCTCCAGTTTGTAACAATAAGACTCTGTCTATTGATATTTGATTGTTTCTTATATAGGACAAATAACACCAAAAGGACTGAGTATCACTAAGGTGTGAATCTTGGCCTCTCTGTGCCATGCATGAACACACACACGCACACACACCCGCCTCCCTTCCTCTGTCCCTCTCTAGATAAGAGTCATAAACTGCAACCCAGATTCCACTCTGAGTAGTGACCAGCAGAACACTCTTCATACATAATTAAATATCTAACTGTTCTGTATCTCATGAGATGTTTCTATGTAATAGTTCAATCTCAAACTTTTATCCTATAGAATGTTTTAGATGTAATATGTAGACTTTAAGACAATGTCCTTCATGTTCATACTGTCAGCATCCTTCACACAAGGTAACACACACTACATGACATCCAGAATGTCCATATTATTATTATCACAGTTAAAGAACTGCTGTGTAACAGAAAGTCTCCTGGCAAACTCCATCAGAGTTGAACCGCTGAGACACTGGCAGAATCCGTCACCGTGATAATGGGACACGGCCTCCAGAAGAAACCACCTAGATCCCGTGTCTCCAGGGATACCATGGCAACCACAGCCACCTAGGTTCCAGCCAAGGGTCCTCAGCTACAGTGCAACTTACAGTAGGCCGGTTATAACACTCTGCTCATGACTGGGTTGATGTCGAAATATAGTAATATTTAATTATCAAATCTCATTCGTAGACGTAGTATCATTAGCTGTATAGCCATAGTGTATAGCCATAACATATTCTCTCCCACCATTGCCAACTCATCATAATGCTCATTATTATTTTCATCTTTATGATTATTACATTGCATTTACTCTGTAGATAGCAGTTTCGTTAATAAACTCCTTTATTTACACCCAGCTGTTGTGTTCTTTTGACATAGAGACTGGAGATCTATTGAATCGAGAAGTCATGGCTTCTGATATGAGATGATAAATTTATCAATGAAGTAATTCATTCTTGTCCTCCCAGAGGACTGGTGCCCCATTTCAACAAGAGCAAATTATAAATTATGGCGTTAAAGCTATAAGATTTACAGAGGGCATCCTTGTGTTGGTCCAAAAGGGGTTTATGAAATAGAGGCCAAAAAATACATTTGTCACAATATCAGTGAATGTGGGAGTGAACACGCACATGTTCATATGTAGACAGTTGCACCTTGATTTCCTCTTAATTTTACAAATTTATTATGAGAAAAAGGATTGTGCTGTATTAAATGAATACAAATATATTTGATATATACAAAGCAAACATGTCTATGTGTCTATATGAGAAAGGGTGTAACAAAATATTCTATACATCACTTTTTGTTACTGCCAAGGACAACATACTGAATATTATCCATGGAATATTATATATAATGGTAGCTCTACGTAACACTTCTCTATGGTCTATTTTCAGGTAAAGAAACATTTTGTCCTCATCAACACCATGACATGGAGTGACGCCCAGAGGCATTGCAGAAAGAATTATATAGACCTGGCCAGTGTGAGAGACATGACCAAGAACCAAAAGATAAGCTGGTACCTAAAGGAAAATAAGTCTGGATCGGCCTTTACAGAGACACCTGGACACCTGGAAATGATGGAGAAAAAGATGGAGGTAGCTCCACATTTAAGTACTGGAGAGTAGGGGAACCTAATAACAGGGGAAACACAGAGGTTTGTGTGGCAGCAAAAATAGGACTTTCAGGCAGATGGGAGGAAAGGAGCTGTGATCAGAGCAGAGGATTTATCTGCTACAGTCGTGGTGAGTGGCAACCCATGATGAACGAAATGTCAGAAAATAGAATATGATAAAAATTGAACATCCAGGATATAGAAAAAGATTGTAAAGAGAAACTGATCTTCTCTACTCATGAAGATATTTGTTGGCAATAATATTCATGTACAATTTTAAGATTGCTTTATTGGATAAAAGACACAAGCTAATATAAAGACATGCAGTCTATGGACAAAACATGCAGTGATTAAGGGTGTACAATAAAGAGAGAACTTGTAGAGAGGTGGAGGTGGTGTGTAAGTTTCTTTTAAATAAATAATAACTGCATTTTTAAGGAACACCATAAAATCCTTCATGCAACCACCCACAGCTTTTTTAATCTAAGTCAATCCTCATTTTCTCTCAAACAAAGGCTGAGGCAGCCAGCTTCCACTTTCTGTACGAGTCAATCAGTTGAAATCTTGCGTCACTAATCCAGGACAAAAAATACCTAACTACAGCCTCCTTCTGAGTAGCAAACACAGTTACTGGTTTCATAGAGAAGGGGATCACAACTGCCCTAGCCTGCATACAGTGATCAGTTCAATTTTGTAAGAGATGATCATGAGCATCTACATGTGCAATGTATTACAAAGCAAAGAGAAGATGCACAAGGAAGAAAATAATTCTGTCCTTGACCTATTTAATGGCAGCAATGTATAATATAAAGTCAGTGTACAACAGCAGGAAAAATGGAAATTCTGTAAGAAAATGTATTAAGAGGACTACTGTATTAACCCAATGTATGCTTCACTCAATAAAAATCATTTTGCCAGAAAAAGAATTTGCCCTTTTCAAATGGTGAATGTCTCATATTGGTACAGTGAGTAACTGTTTTCTGGGTTGATTTCCTCTTGTAGAAGATGATCTGTTGTACTAAACTGTACAAAACAATGCTTGGAGAAAGATATATTTTACTGAATGTTAAATGTGTCTTTGTAAGGTGACATTTTCTGTCCCCTTGTAGTGAATATGAGATGCACTTGTGGTTGTTTGTCAGCATGTCATTTCTAACTGTAACTTTAACTATGTCAGTGCATTTTCATTTTGTTACCTTACCTTGTTACCATGAATATAAACTCCTTGCATGCTTGAAATAGATAATTTAGTCAGTATCTAACTGTTGGAAAGAATTATGTATCATTGTAATCTAATAATGTATTTTTTCAACAGTGGCTTTACAGTTTTTTCCAGATACATGGAACATTTCCTTCATAATACATCAAAGGTAAAGCATTAGTGAGCTTATCAGTGTAATAACAAGGCAGGTGAGTAATGGTTTGCCCTCCTCATCTCCCTCATTACACTATTGATGGGGCAAAGAAATGTGCAACATTAAAGTAAAGGCAGAGAAGGTTCATTTCCCTGCTTTAGACATGGATAGAGGGACAATATTAATTAAAGCCAGGTAACTCACGGTTACGCTTGCTCTCCTCGTCTCCCTCCTCTTCATTCTCAGGGTCGATGTCCTCAGCCTGGGTGATCCAGTCCAGGTAGCCCTTTAGGTCTTCCTCTAACTGCTGCTTCTCACGGAGCTTTTGGAAGTCTCCCCGAGCCTTGGCCTTCTCTCGCTCTTTGGAAAACTCTCTGGACAGGGCAGAGCGTAATGACAGTCAAACCTTGGTCACATAATACTGCACAGGATCAGAACTGGTGATTTTAAAGGAAAATATCTATTTTCTAAATCTGCTTATCCTATTCAGGGTCACAGAACTGAAAACTGTTCCCTATATTTGAGGAAACAAATTGTATTGAACCATATCCAATGATGTTGGAAAAGAACCTTAGCGTTTGATACAAACTGGTGGAGTTTGATACATCAATTACAGAAAAGGAAAAAACGACAACATATAAGTAAAATAAAAACACAAAACACAAAACACAAAACACAAGACACATTCAAGACCTACCCGCTCAACACACCCAAGACCAAGTTGAGCACAAAGAAGGATCCAAATATGACCAGACTGACAAAGTAAACCCACGGCAGCTCAAAGCCCATTGCATCATTCATCTACATGGAAACACAAACAGAGAAAAAGAAATGAGGATTACTCATATAGTTTATATATATTTCTTGTTATATTTATGTATATTTATCATTTCATAATTGTACTTTTAAATCTTTTTTTTTATCAATTTTTAATTTTCACAATCTATGTGTCCCATATGCATTAAATTTTTTCCTGTTCATAAAATTTATCTTAGTGAACTGAACAGTTTTACTCTACAGAGACACATGAGAAGACCTATTTGAAAATTACAGGACACAAAATGGAAAGGTCTTAAATTTCTCATACGTAATGAGCGTAATTGAGAAGAATTCTGTACAAATTCTAGCAAGTTTTTGGTGTGATGGCTGGCTGTAGCTGGGATAAATGTGCAGCTTCTGCCAGTAAAACTACCTACTATATCCTAACCTACACCTTTATTCCACAGATTCCACACATATTATCACCGGAAAAATATTTAGTGCTTCTGAACACTCCAAGTATTCATAGTTTTCTTCCAGGAACAGCCTTGAAAATTACATTTAGTTCATGATTTAAATCAAAGATTAAACTACAAATACCTTATGCCAAGTGGTTTGTGTTCCTCCTTACAAATATTTACTGTGCTGTAATGTATATCTTTCTCCAGTGCATAGTCATGTGAACATTCACCACACATTCACCACACTTAATTTGAACATTCACAACATATAAATGTTAAAAATAAGTAGTTACATCAGTGTCTCATTAATTTAATTGTGCAAGCTTTCAAGTATTTGTACTTTTTGGAGTAAAAGTCCATCTTGTTACGCTCAAGGGCGTCACCACTCCAGTAAAGATTAAATTAAATAAATTAAATAAAAATTAAATAAAACTTAATAGTGGCTCAAAGCCATTCTTTAGAGGGAGAGAGACTGTCTATGACCACTAGAGGGCACCATGTGAGAGACAACCAGACAGTAATGAGTGAGAGGAGGTATTAGAAGATATCTATTAGTAATGTGTCTGATGCAAATGACCACACAACAGAGCTAGGTGCCTTTTAAAAGAGCTCTTTGGCAGAGATACTAAGAGTTGATAGCTGGAGTTTGTTCATTTATAACCACACAACTAGGCTCTTACACAGTCGAAATACTTTCTGCTTTTCACTTTTCTTTCATGCAATTCTATTTAAACACTAATCTTCTGTCTAAAAAAGAAAAGAAAAAAACCCGCACCAATGGCATAACACGACACAAAGTCTTAACTCAGCCTCCAGCCATAACACAATACGCAGCCACCCACCATGCAATGATAGTTGATTTCTATAGGAAGGTCAAAGGTCACATTTAATTCATACATCTGTGTATATATCCATCTATCTATCCTCTCTTACGTTTGTCAAGTCACCTTCCTTCACCACTTTCACAGCAATATTAGGATGGAGATGCCATGGTAACACATACATGCATAAGAAAAGTGTGTGAGGGAGACAGAGAAAGGGAAGGAGGGAGGTTCATTATTTCATAGATGAGGGTCTCTGTCAATAAAATGATGTGGGTGGATTGTAAGTAAAACTGAGTTGAGCTTCAAAGTTGAGTGTTTTGGCTAATTAAAAGCTGTTGGTAAGTTCTGCTAATGGGAAGCTAAGGATTTTGAAGTGAGACTATGCTTTTAAAGTTTTAAAATATGTTGTTGTTTTCAACTAAAAGAAAGCCGATGGTTCAAGCTCAGGTTACAGTCTACTCAGGACTTCTTTATAATAAAAGTTTTATGGCTTGAATTTGTAGGAGAGGCAGAAACAGAGAGATTTTATATATTAAGGGGCTCAATGAGTATGTTTTCTGAGGCCTGCAGCTTTTAAATAAAATAAAGCTGGTTAGTCTTCTTTATCTTTGGATTGCCTTGCTGTTGAATGGTGCTGTACAAATAAACTTGCTTTGATTCTATAATGGTCATTACCTTAATCATGTCAAGTTACAAAACCTCAATAAATTGGAATACTACCATCCTTTAAATGAATATGTTTTAGATAAAAAATTTTATGATGACAGTACATAATGACTTAAATAAAGTACAGAAACATTTGAGTGCCCTTTCTAGGAAATATGTGACTTTGTTTTCATCTGTCGTCTTAAAAATACCTAGGATGATGCATGTCATTTCATAATTTTGTCAAGATTTCTTAGATTTCAGCATAGTTTCAAAGATGCTGGAAGCCACACAAAAAGGTTCTGTCAAAGTCAAACATTTCAAAAGTGACACAGATTCATGAACCAAAAATGTGGTTTTGGGTTTAATAAGAGTAATTTTAATGGAGAGTGGCAGATTACCCAGTAGAGGACGTCAGTCCAGCCCTCCATGGTGATGCACTGGAACACAGTGAGCATGGCAAACAAAAAATTGTCAAAGTTGGTGATGCCGTTGTTGGGACCTTGCCATCCCTCTCTGCAACCTGTACCATTGAGCAGGCAATGACGGCCGTGCCCTGACACTGCACACGGTGTGGGCTCTTCTTCTGCAAGGGCACCTGGGAGGCACAGATACAGATTAAAACCGAATACAACCAACAGACATTGGAGCATTTTGTAAATATGCAAATGATTTTTTAAGAATATAAAACTAGTTTGTATTTTGTGTAATTACCTTTCCACACAGATCCATTATTAAATGTTTGAGATGAGTTAAAATTATATTCTGTTTCTTACACATAATTTTAAATCATTGTCATCACTATTGATCAGAAAGTAACGTGAATGTGATTTGTTTTGAAACTTGCTGTGTCTGATTTGTTGGTAAGGAATGAAGGAACTAATAAGTAGTAACTCTGTTTGATTGATCACTTCCAAACTCTTAAAACAACCACAATATGCAACTAATTTTCACTTTAGTTTACGGTACAGTTATGTTGTAATGTGCTGCTAATTAACCTCTAAGGAAATCTAATTAGTGTGTAACAGTGGGAAATAAAGATGCAATGCACTGACAGCTTCCAGGGCCCACGGTGACATATGAGAGTAGAAACTATCACTACCTACAACCTGCATGGGACTATGGACAAAATCCAGACTACAACAGAACGGTGAAGGAGCGCCTAGGTGTGACCCAATGTGCTTTGACTTCAGTTTATGGTACGATTTTATTCTAATGACCAACAGATGATCGTTAAGAAAGTGAAAAGATGTTAAGTAAAGGCCAAATAATATATGTCTGATATAATATGGCATTACAGCTGTCTAATGAAGCTATCATAGGTCCATGATGGACATATTTTGGATTTGATATGACATTGTATTTTATTTCTCATTAGACTATGATCTTGTAAAATGGTGTCTAAAAGTATATTAGAGTCTCTTATTTATCATAAAATTCCGGCTACTTATGTAGTTAGTGTACTGTAAAAGAAAGTGCGACTGTATACACAAGAATACACAAGATATATTCAGAATATATAAGAACTATATGGTGTAGCCATTTTTTTTGACTTCCTGACTGTGTTTCTACTGTACTGATGCCTGTGATTTGTAACATCCTTCTATTGAAGAACCACCTTTCCCCATTCTTAAATCTCACCTTGTCTTTTTTTTCTTTTTTTTTCTTTTTTTTAAATTTCTTTCTTACTAACACCATGTGTCTACTTATAGTACATATTACAGCAGAGCTGTCTTAATCATACTACTTTATCATCTCCATTAACTGGTTATCCCATACTGAGTGTTAGCCTCCTGTTACACTGGTATCTTTTGTCATAATTTTGTTTTAGTCATGGTCAGCCAATGGAAGGATTCTTTGAATGAACTTGTGTATGTTTGGACTTTTGTTTATTTCCTTTTTTATTCTGAAATAACTTCTTCTTCTTTTACTTCCTATCTTTGTCTCATTTTCCAGCCTGACTGTCTGCCCCAGTCTGATGTGTTTCATCTGTGTCAAATACCCTTGCCCCCCTGGTATTGTATTGTATTTCTGTTTTTCCCTCAGTTCCTGTCAATTCATCTGCTGTGTTTCTCTCGTCCCTGATGTTTCCTGGTGCTTCTTCTTTTGTTCCAGTGTTTTGCCGGTAATTTAGATTTTCTTAGGTTTTCTTACCAGGTCTTTGGTTTTGCATCATCTGCCTTTTTGTTTTATAAATAAATCCTTGAATTGATACTGATTCTGAAATTATGATCATCATCATGACTCTATATGATACACAATTATTTAAACCCCTGGGGGATAAATAGAGTATCTATCCTATCTATCCTATCTATCTGTCTATCTATCTATCTATATACTACTAGATCTGTAACCATGCTGTCATTATATAACCATTACAGAAAATTAAGGTACACACTCGAATTAAACCCCACCCACACCCATATGCACATACATACACATGAGAATTTTCATACTCAGTCTTGAAATATCCACAATCATTAGTCCAACTCACAATCAAGGTTACACACTTTTATAGAGGACGCTCCTCCCCAACTTAGTACTGAGGAACTCGTTGCCCTGTTTAATAACACCCGCACCTCCATTCTTAACTCTGTTGCCCCACTCAAAATAAAAAAGCCTAAGCGCAAATCTCAGCCTTGGTTCAATAAGTCCACTAGAGCCATGAGAAGGGAATGCAGAAGAGCTGAGCACAAGTGGAAGAAGGATAAGCTCCAAATCTCACTGGAAATCTTGAGAAACCGCCTATTAAAATATTAACAATTAACTCTTTTCAGCACCATTAACTCTCTCACCTGCCCCCCTCCCAGACCCAGCCCTGACACATCCTCATCTAAAGGTGAAGAATTCTTAAAATCCTTTTCTCTTACAGGAGGCCTTCAATTTCAACAACGATTTCTGACATCGTTTACATTATAAACAGCTCTCTGGCTGCCAGCACTGCACCTTCCTACCTTAGACACGCCATGGTCCAGCCCCTTCTTCAAAAGCATAACCTACATCCTGAGTTTCTCAGCAACTACAGACCCATTTCCAAATTAGCCTTTCTATCCAAGATCCTTGAAAAAGTAATTTTGTCACAACTATAACCTCACCTAGTCTGCCCTACTGAAGGTCCACAATTACCTGCTCTTCACTGTTGATTCTGGAAACTGTGCCACTTTCTACACTGTTGATCCCACCATCTTAATTGACAATCTGAAGCATGATATCAGGATTACTGGTGCTACATTAAACTGGTTCACTTCTTATTTCACAAACAGAACATTTACATTCAATATAAATAATTTTTCCTCCCCTCCAGCAAACCTGTCATGCGGGGTCCCCCAAGGCTCTGTCCCTGGCCCCATTGTCTTTGCCATCTACATGCTGCCCCTAGGTAAAATCATTCAGAAACATAACATCTCTTACCACTGTTACATTGATGACACTCTATCGCTCTATCTCCCCCTAAAACCAAATAAGCACAATAATTTGAACTGCCTTAGAGAGTGCCTTGAGGATATAAGAGCCTGGATGGCTCTAAACCACGTCCAGCTGAACCAGGACAAATCTGAAGTTGTTCTTTTTGACCCCCAGGACTCCACTGTCTTGATCATCAGTAACCTTGGTCATCTTTCCACCTACATTAGCCCTACACCAAAAACCTTGGCATAATCTTTGACTCTGCCTTCCAATTTGACAAACAGGTAAAGGCAGTAGTAAAGTCCAGTTTCTACTAGCTACATACCACTACTAAAATAAAACCCTTCCTCTAATTTACTGACTTGGAAAGAGTCATCCATGCTCTTATATCCTCAAGACTTGACTACTGTAATTCCCTGTTCTCTGGAATCATTCACTCATTCTTGTCTCGCCCACAAATGGTCCAGAACACTGCGGCTCGGCTTCTAACTGGTTCCAGGGGGAGTGATCACATTACTCCTATCATGGCCTCTCTGAATTGGCTCACAATTCGCTATAGGATAGATTTCAAGGTTCTATTGTTCGTTTTTAAAGCCCAACACGGAGAAGCCCCCCCCTACATCACAAATCTTTTAACCCCCTACACTACAGCCAGGCCCCTCAGATCACCCAACATGGGCTTCCTCACCATCCCTCGCACTCACCTTAAATGCAGAGGTGACCGTGCTTTCTCAGTCATGGCCCCCAGACTGTGGAATATCCTGCCCATATCCATCAGATTTGCCCCATCCATTGACTCTTTCAAATCCCAGCTCAAAACACTTTTATACTCATTAGCATTCGAGCCAAGATCAGTTGTCTGCCTCATTTCAGTCTGCTTGCTTGTTTTTGTCCTGCATTTTTTATTGTCTGTTGAACTTTTTGTTTCTCTGTATTGTTTGTGTTTTCCAGATGTTGTACAGCACAGTACAGCTGCTCAGCTTGCTGTTTTTAAATGTGCTTTATAAATAACACACACACACACCACAGGCTAAGTCTCTTCTCTAAAGGCCAACAGAGGAGACAGAAGCAAAGGTAGATCAAAGGGAGCTTCCATCTCACTCTGTTATAAGATCTCAACTTAAGTCTACAATGTTTCTCCTGATATCTACAAACAAACAGATCAAAGCTAGAAAGAGAAGTAAAGAGGAAGAGATTGGGTGAGAGGTGTGTGAGAAAGAGAGGGATAACGGAGAGAATGGCACTCTATGAAAATTGCTGTGGTACTCCTGTGTAGCCCACCAATCCCTGTGAGTTTAGCTGCTTCGCTCCTCTAACTCAGCTATTTTAGAACATGACTGTGGTTTTATGCGAGTGTGTCTGTGTTTGTGTATGATGTATAAAGGTGACATTTATGACTGACAGTCGCCCATCAATTCATCCTTACTTCTTGAATAATTCTGCCATGTTGGAAGCAATGCTGGTGCAAAGGTCAAGCATGTTTACATAATAGCCAGATATTAGTCATTTAATCACTGGATTGAATCCACCATCTGTTGTTCTGTCCTGTTTCCAGCAGCTTGCCACCTTTCACATACAAGGTACATATGTCCATTCATTCCCAGGGATTAAATCCAGTGTCTGTTTTAAACTGTCATGTATATGCCTGCTCACAATGTACTTTAGGCTGGCTGTGCTGAAACTCACTCTTAGACAGTTCCCCAGGCAACTCTCAAAGAATGAAACAAAAAACAAATGAACAAATAAATCTCTCCACTCTACCTGTCTGTACCACATAGCATGTGGCGTGCATTTTGCCAATGAAGAGTTCCAGGCCAATGATGGCGTAGATGATAATGACGAAGAGGACAAGCAGAGCGATGTGAAGCAGGGGAACCATGGCTTTAATGATGGAGTTTAAAACCACCTGTAAACCTGCAAACATACATAGAAGCCAAGGTCAGAGGGAGCTCACAGACACATACAGAAATATACACGCATACACAGGGTTTCACAAAGAGTTGCCACCTTTATGGGAAAAGCAGCAACAGGATATTTGTTCTTTATATTAATTAATGAACAAACTTTTGCTGCAACAATTAGCTGATTAATGGGAGGATTTCATGCTTTTCTTTGCCATTTATGAAACTGAATATCTTTGAGTTTTTAATTTTTGGTCAGATAAACAGTAGGCAACATCACTTGTGGACATCTTTCATTATTTTCTAACATTTTTTAGACATAACAATGAATCAATTAATCTAGAACATGATCAGCAAATTAATCAATAATGAAAATAATCCTATAATAATAATAAGCCTTGTGATAAATCTTAAATGTGATTATAGACATAGGACTTACTCTAAAAAGTATTCTTACTCAAACCACATACATTTTGTTGCTGTTGTGTTCATTAGAGAAAAGAATTCAAGCATCTCAAGCATAAAACCAGAATAGTTCATTTAAATTATCCTTTTGAAATACATGCCCCTTGGCCCTGGTAGGTGTGTTTTCGTCTGTACCAGACTCAGTCTTCATGCAACTTTGACAAATTATACAATGTGCAAGCTCTAAGTCTCCTGATTATACCTGTGCAAAGCATTTTAGGATCCCTTTCCAAATCATGTCAAATCTGTTGGATTTACCACAGGTGGACTTAAATCAAGGTGTAGAAGCAACTCAAAGATGATCAAGAGATCAATAGACTCTACAATGGGACTAGCTGACGCCAAGGTTTTAAATGAAAACAAAAGAAGCTGAAAAACCATGTTTGCATTATATCAATGTGCAATTTAGGATTGTCATCACTGTAAAAGCTGTTGATTCAGAATTGGTTCAGGCTTGTGGGTACAGCTCTGAAGTGTTTTCCACACAAAAGGTACTACACGCTTTATATTCCCCCTTTTATTTTGACAAAACATGTTTGTGCCTCTGGAACTTTGGTTAGATATCTCTTATAGTCATTCTGACTTGTTGGTTGTAAAATTTATGGAGTTACCATTTAAAGGAGACCAGGATTAGTACTGTAATGAAAAAGGTTGAAGAACAGTATGCTTTGTATTTTGGGTACATTATTAATAGGCTATGTGCACAACAATGTGTCTGGTAATAGGTTACCACAAGGTTTCTATTTGTCATTCACTCAAAAGCCTTGAAAGAATTTCTCCCCTCTAACACCAGAAATATGAAGACATTTAGACACAAACACCAGGTTGTAACAAACAATCAGTATCGATCCATCTTTCTGTTGTTTTCTCAATCAATTTGTTTAGTCTATAAAATGTCAGACAGTAAAAAATGTTCATAACAATTAAGATAATGCCCGAGTTGGTGTCACAAAATTGATTGTTTTGTCTGACCAACAGTGCAAAACCTTAAGACGTGATCACATATCACATAGGTAGCAAATCCTCACAACTGAAAAGCTAAAACTATGCAATGTTTGGTATTTTTCCTTGAAACATCAATTAACATTAGCCAATTATGAAAATAGTTGCTAATGATTTTTTTGATTGACTGATTAATTGTCAGTTCTAATAAAAGTAGCAGGCAAGCCAGAGATTAGAAGATAGTAATTTTGTTGGTCCTTCTGAGTATAGTGCAATGTTGAAGTGGACACACACTCACGCACACACACAGATAAACAATAGTACACACAGAAATCAAACAAACAGATAAACACTCATAGAAACACAATTTATCCAAGCACTCAGTTGTCATGATGACATTATTTACATCTCTCCAAGCCTCGTGAAACCACAGAATAGACATGAAAGCCAATAAACCAGCCACTGTTGCATCAGCAAACAAGTCAAAATATCACACTTTAATTAAACCCAATATGCTATCCAACGAAGACAAATGTTGAACTGGAATAGAACTGAAATTGTCGTTTCAGCTCAACTTCATCTTTCCCAGAGGCCCTTTCCTCCCTGAGACCAGTGAATGATCCATTGCTATGGCGACTCAAAGAATGCAGACATATTAGGGCAACTGCATGTAAGGTCAGATGTGAACTGAAAACAGAAACAGTGAAGGAAGCAGTATCTTCTGTGTAATAAATGAATTGGGCAGAACAGTAGGGACTATACAAATGTTTTCCTTGTGTAACAGGTAGTGGGAGATCCCTTCCAGGTCACCATGGGGTTTAGTCACGCCCACTTCCTGGTTTTAATTGTTTGGGGAAGGCTATATATTCATGCTGGTCTCTTGCTCTCTCTGCTGTCTGGTGAGCCTGTGGTGTGCTGTCTTTGCTCTGTTTGTTTTGTTGGTTTAGTTATTGTGTTTTGGTCTGTTTAGTTGTTTCATTGTTTGCACACTGTTGTCCCTGGTATTGGTTTGGTTATTTCCCCCAAGAATTTGTACCTGTCTCAAGTTCTAATACCTGTTCTTTTGTTTGTTTCTATACAGTGCTGTAGGTGTGGCAGCGAGCATGGCCCGCCCAACGGTGGAGGGTTTGGTGGTAGAGTTCCTCACCTGTGCTTCGTCACCCCCCATATTAGTGTGTTTGGTCACTTCCTTCACTATTTATTTGCATCCCCTTTGTTGATTTGCTGTGTGAGTGTGGTGAGGTACTCTATCCCAGTTTAAATTTTCTCCCTTCCCTGTCTGCGGCCACAGCTGCTAATCCTACGGTTCCTTTTCTCTTTCTTTTGTGTTCCTGTTATTCATTTATACATGAGACAAATTGGAACTTGAGGCACTTATGTTTTCGATTTTTCTTTTCTCTTAACCTTAATAAATTGTTGTTGGTTTTTATATATTGATCTTTTAAATAAATTTGTAATCTTGGAAATCCTTGTCTCAGTCCATCTTTTGTCACCTGTATCAGTAAGGTTTCTGTGGATTAACTGTTTTACTGAAGTATTGAAGGGGGTCAGTAGTACCCAAATTTTTCAGTTAAATCTGGGCCTTGCCACGGCCCAGCCACATTCTGGCATTGTCGGCAGGATGCAGTGACAAATTTTGGTGGGTGTGAGACAAGGATTATTTTCAGAGTTATTTTAGACCTTTTTTTTGTTTGTTTGTTTGTTTGTTTTTTGGTGGAGTTATTTGTATATAGCTGTAAACCAAAAGAGACCAGTGTGCATATTGAGGGACTTGCCAAGTGTTGTGCCAACTTGCCCTCAGTCCTCACGACTAAATTGGACTGTTCAGATAACTTGGTCCTTATTGACTTTCTCAACTCAGCCATGGCCAGTGAGCTAAAAGAATTGATGGACTAGGAGCAGCTACTGAAGGAGCGAGCAGCAGCCACCTCACTCCCTTTGGGTTCAGGCCCTGGTCATCTGGTTGGTTCTCAAAACTCTGTTCCCAATGACCCCCTCCCTGTTGAGCGTTTGCTTTATATCCCTTGGGAACGAAAATGCCCAACCTTTAGGGGAACATCTGGTATCCCAGTGGAGGATTGGGTTGAGGAGATGAGGGCCACATTAAGAGCTAGGCAGTTGAGACCTGTTGATCAAGCTTATTTTATTTTTGACCATTTAAAGGGGGAGGCAAAAGATGAGATTAGGTACAGACCTGGAGCAGAAAGAAAGGACCCTAAGGAAATTTTGACTATTCTACAAGATCTGTATGGATGTTCTAAGTCTTATGTTTCAACAGAGTTTCTTTTCTAAGAGGCAGTTAGAAAAAGAGTCACTTCAAGAGTTTTCACATGCGTTGTGTTGTCTCATGGAGAAGGTTGAACGTTGTGCCTCAAGAGTAATGCGTGATGCCTCTATTCTTCTTAGGGACCAGTTTGTGGAGCATGTTTTTGGCTCTGATCTTTGCAGGGAGTTAAAGCGTGTAGTACGACAGCACCCTGATTACAACCTCCTAGATGTTCAAGCAGAGGCCATACGCTGGGAACGGGAGGGAAGACCTGATGAGCCAAGGGGTAGGAGTAATTCGGTCCCCACCTTTAGCGCCATGCAGTCTTCTGAGAGTAGGACGCCTACTATTTCTGGTAATGCAGAAATGAAGGAGTTCAAGCATATGTTACAGAAACAACAAGAGCAGCTTAATCTACTGACCCAAAGTCTTTTAGCACTACAGGAGCCACCCCGGCCCCCTGCTAGACAAAGACGCTCAAACATTGTCATCTGTAGGCATTGCCAAAAACCAGGTCAGGGAGTGCCATAGTGAACATGTTGATTTCCAGGTTCAGCAGCAGCCCAGGGCCCCACCTCGTACAGCAACAGCCTCTGTGGCCCAGGATGCAGGAAAACCCCCCCCTGATGTGAGGAGCCAAGCATCAGGAGGGGAGGACACAGGCTCAGATACACAGAGATCAGATGCTTAGATCATGGCCTCTAATCTGGTAGCACCGTGCCCCAAGGTAACTGTTAGTCTGGGAGATGTACCTGTTAACCTCCTATTAGACACAGGTTCAATGGTTACAACCATTTTTGAAAGCTTCTTTCTCCAGCATTTCCATCATGCCCCTAGGTCTTGCCGCTGGCTTCAGTTGCGTGCTGCTAATGGGCTGGAAATTCCCTATGTGGGCTATGTAGAGCTGGATGTGACAGTTTTTGGCAAGGTCATACCACAGCGAGGTGTTCTGATTGTTAAAGATCCGCCAGGCCAAACACCCCCCTTGGGTTTTCCCAGTGGCTTGGGTATGAATGTAATAAGAGTGCTGTTATCAATTGGCCTGTACCTTTTTGACCTCCCCATTGTGCAGTGCCACCAGGCACAGTGTGATGCAGCTCAACCCAAGACCGGTTTGGCCTGGGTGGGAGGTAGGCGTTCCATCACCATACCTAGGAGTACAGTTAAGTGGGTTACTGCTACATGCTCTTCTCAGTTTAGTGAGTCCTCAGGTGCTGCATTGATTGAGCCCCTCGACGATGGACAGTCCCTCCCTGAATGTGTGCTCCTATCCCCAGCCATGATCACTGTGACTAGAGGTACTGTGTATGTGCCTGTGGTAAATGTAGGTGAGGCAGATG